GGAATGTTTGGAGGAGTGTACTGGAAGCTTTCAGGCAAGTATGTCCTGGTAACAATGTCAAGCCAAACACTCCTGTGGCAGTGACTGAGATCCATTGCAATGGGGAAAGAGTAAACAGGGAAAGAGACCAGGGAAAGTGTTATTCTATTCACTGATTTTAGTAGGAAACTTAAGGTACTGTTTATCTTTTTTGTAGTTTAATCTATCTGCAAACAAAATGTACTTTGCAGATCTTCATAACTATACATTTTAAATCCTAAGATTAGATATCAGGCTAAAATTCAATTTTTATTTATTTTTAAATAACAAGGAGCTACTCTGCTTAGTGAATGGATGTCCTAAGCTTCAACCATTTGTCTTAGGACAGACCGATGCAAGTAACGTCAGTGTTCATGAGTAGCTACACAGAGGGGGAGGAGGCTTGTGCAGAATGAGCAATCTACTCACCTTGAAACTATGGATTTGGGAGACTCACGGTGAGGCCTGCTACACACTAGACATGAAACTGAAAACTGCATACCTGCCCCATGGCCTTCTGAAAAATGAGAGGATGGAGAAAAAACTGGACAGTTAATGAAATGCAGTACTCTATACTCTTATCATTTAACCATCTGTTCTTACATATAGGAGAAAACTGAGTATATTTGCTATAAAGAGACTTGGCATTTTATGCCTATGAAATAAGAAGACACCCTGAAATATGTCCCTTGGGTAACAAGACATCTGCTTAGAACTGGGACTGGTGAGGCTGTGTTAACAGATATGTTGATTCTTAATCTTGTCAGTTGGCCAAGGAAGCTAGGCTCATAACTAAGGACCTCTCAGTAGTGGGTATAGGGTGTGGCCTCGTTCCTAAGTGACAAGAAAATCAAAAAGGAAGGGAGGCACACAGATCAAAGAAGTGTTAGAAGAATTTATAAGGTCAGAAGCTAGCCACCTAAACTTTGGGGTACTTGACTTTAAACATATTGTTTCTCTTCCTACCTTACCTGTGGTCCAGGATGTGATCAAAGGACATCCAAGTGGAGGAAAGAGGTACAAGGATGCAATGAAGGAATGGTTGAGGCAGAGAGGTCCAGAGCATGCTGGGGGAGGATGGAGGAAATAGTGTATACATTAGCCTTGCAATAAAATAGCATTCTTTCCTTGTGAAGTGAGGAAAACTAAGGGAAATTCTAGCAATTACAAAATTTTCCCCTTTGCTTTTACATATTAAATCTCTACCAGAAACAAATTACTAATTAAACACCTTTTAATCAAATTTTATCTCACTGACTACTATTATTATGTCAAAGATTCATTACCGTGAGAAAACTTAGGGACATTTTTTCCAATCTAAAGTACATATCATACTTAAGATTCATAATAATATATTTAAATAACTTTATGTTTTAGAAATACTTAGTTTATATTAATAATTGCTAGCTTAATTACAGATTACATTTCCATAATAATTCATTCTTTTATAAAAAACACTTTTCCATCTAAAGCTCAGAGAGAAATCCTGTTTCTCATTTTAGAAACAAGAAATCTGAAACTCAGCTTGATATTAATGAGTCTTTTATTGAATGATTAACCATAACAGGACCATGTTATTCTCTATGTATTGTTTCATTTAATGCTTATGATTAAACCATGAGCTAGTTAGCACCTTTATTTCTTTGGTTCTAAGAATCCACAAATTGAGATCTAATTGATTCCAATGTCTGTGCCTTGAAATCACAAGTTACTGAAGATGTGACTTAACCTAAGCTCACTGAACTAGTAAATGATGGAAGAGGAAATAGAAAGAGTCTATTTGCCCTTGAAACTTTCCATGCAACCCTAATGGAGAATTTTAATATAATGAATAATCAGTCGTAAAAAGTCATTGCACATTCATTAAAAACAAATGTTTTATAAGTCCATAGAAATAACTCTATATTTTTGAGCAGGGGGAGGGGCAGGGGAAGGTGGTGGGGGGAAGGCAGAGACAAATGTATTTGAAAAAATAAAGAAAATAAATTAAATTTAAAAAATAAAATAAAATATCCAATACAATGATGAATAGAAATAGTAAGAGAAAATACCCTGTTTTGTTCCTGATTTAGGGGAAAACATTCAGTCTTTCATTATTAAGTGTTATGTTAGCTATAAGCATTTTGAGAATGTTCTTTGTGAGGTTTAGGAAGTTCCTTTTTTCCCTACTTTGCTGAGAGTTTTTTTCAGGAATAAATGTTGTGTTTTATCAAATGCTATTTCTGCATCCATTGAGATGATCATGTGTTTACAAAACCTCTTAATATATAAATTTTGTTGATTTATTTTCAAATGGGAAACCAACTTTGCATCTTTAAAATAAACCCCATGTACTCGTGATAAAAAATAATAATTCTATGTTTTGAAAATTCTAACAGATTTAAATGTTTCAAATAACCTTATTGTCTTTATTATTCCTTCATATATAAAGCAGCACTAATTAGGTCAAAAATTACATCGTATAACTTTGATAGAATTAAAGTAACAAAAGTAATATCAGTGAGCAATTTTGCTTTAAAATATGAGCATTCAATTCAATTCATCAAGTTAATTTTGAGCACTTAGCCTATAAGGTGCTTCATTGACACAGATGAGTAGACACACTGTCTCTGAAGAAATTTTCAGTTCTTTGTTAAAGGATTATATTTAAATAATCTGAATATTCTTGAAAGAAATTATTAGGATTCCTACTTGGGAATTATATTTAGTAAAATTGAGTATTCTTGAGATTATTGTGATTTCTTAGTATGATTTTTATTCTGCATTGGGAGAAGGGTATCAGAAGAAAGCAAAATGGTTATGTGCAGATAGAGGTATGTACTTATAATAGAAAACTAAACACAAAAAAAGGATCTAAATTACAATGAGAGAAAGAAATGACTGCTTTGGAGGAGCATGAGAAGGGAACTGTCAAGTCATATTGGAATAGAAGGGGAATCAGCTAAGGCCCCATGATAAAAACTATGTTTGAAATGAGCCCTACTGGATGACGAGTGGGTAGGGCATTCACACACAAAGGGGGCAATGTAAGTAAAAGCAGAGACTAGATTTTCTTATACACAGTATGTATGTAGATTAATAAAAAGGCACCAGCCTGACAACTGAGACCTTGTTGTAAAATGTCTTGAATACTATTTGTTTTGGGGGCAAATGCAATAGAGTGAAAAACAGACGCTGGATTGAGAGAAAGGAGATATGTGTGAACATTTCAGTGGTGGCATTGGTGAACTGCGTGAACTTGAACAAATCATTAAATCTTCGTGAGCTTTAACTTCTCCACCTCCAATATGGGTAGAATGATAATTACTTTAAAGGTTGGGTTTAAATTAGAAAACTTGTGTGGAAGTACTGTGAAATTGTCAAGCACAACAGGAAGCATCATTGCCATTGTCATCACTGTTGTTATTTATGCGATGGTATATGTAGATATTGAAGAAGTGGCACTTTTTGTTGCAATCTGCACTTTAGGAAAAATGAGTTGACAGAAGTGTGAAGGATGGCTTAATAAAAACAGAAGAAAGAGAACCAACCAGGAAACTTCTAAAGTAATTCAGGTTACAAATAACTTAAGGTGTGATTAGGATGGTAGTTCATGTAACTGGGAAGAAAGGCAAACACATATCAGAGATACTGTTTAATTGTCCATTCGTTGAAAAATGGACTGGGTACGCACTCTGTTCCTGCACATAATCCTCACAAAAGAGACAACAGGTATAGAGACACAGAATAAGATGTGCAGACACTTGGGGAGTGAGTCAAGAGGAATATAAAGGGTCACTGGGTCTTCCTTTGATTTCCATTGGAGAACCTTGGGTACCAGCAGAATCGCAAAGAGACGCCTCAGGCGCAGTGAGCTTAACCCACCTCTGGTGCAGGTGTCATAGTGGCCAGGAGATGATGTAGGGTCAGAAAATCCTTCCAAGAAGGGTTTGAATACACTCACTCCCAATTTGGGTCTACATCATCTGAGGTGCAGAGGGAGGAGTGTTACCCAAGGAAAGAAGGTACAAGACCGTCTCAAGAAACTTTCACTCCAAAAACCTGACAGAGTCCCTTTCAACACCACCCCACCCTCAACCAAGGGAGGTGAGAAAATGTCTTCACCTAAAGAGAGAATTTCTCACTTCTCTTAAAATGGACCAACTGCTTGCTTATGTTTGGAAGTGTGTATTAAATCAAGAAATAAGGTTCTGAACCTATTTGTAAACTCAAAATCACTTTCGTGGTAATCAGAAATTGATTAACTTTAATTCCACAGCCATTTAGTGACTGCAGATTCTGCCAGGAGGTGGAACTACTGAAGAATACTGGAAGTGACCAAGAGGACTCTGCCTCTCTCTCACAAATTAGTGAAAGTGTATGTCAGCAGGCATATGACAGATTATTGCATGCTGGGCCGAAGTTGTCGTCTTAATGCTGTTATAAACAACACAACATTCTCTGTTTCACACACGTGATTTGTGTTTTTACTTCCCCATGAATTACTTTTCTATGAAGACCAAAGTGATGTGTGGGTTCTTATTGGACACTCCTATTAATATGAGTTTCTAATAAATTAAACAATTCCTGTAATAATGATCCCTAAAGTTGAAGGTGCTTTATGGAGTCCTTCAGAAACACCCTGTGAATTTTGTGGGATCAAGTTCCAGAGAAGCAGCCCCATTTGTACGGCTTTTTCCATAGAACGTTTACCACTGAGTTGTCCCTTTACTTTGAAACTTATTTGAAATGAAAATAGGACAACCTTGTAGGTCTTCTTAAGGTATAAAGGGGACATAGAAATAACCATGGAACCAAAAATTCGTAAAATTAGGGGGAAAAATTATGAAAGTGAGTTTGTCACTCCCTTTTTAAAATTCCCTTTCATTCCTTATTCATTTCTTGTTCGTTTTTTACCCCTTCCATGCTGTATCAAGGCGGACTTTATGCTACTGACTTGAAATACACTGTGTAACAGTGCTGTTTGATTTTCTTCCCTATAGGAGATGACCTGGCTTCCACCACTTTCTGCTATTCAGGCACCTGGCAAAGTGGAAGCAAGCAAATTTTCATTTCCAAATAAGGTAAGATCTTGTGTCACTCAAGAGCTATATGCTCTATTCATGCAGAGATTTTTTTGTGGACAAAATCAAGTGGGTTTCCCCTTGATTGTCATTTCCTTTGTAAATGTTCTTGCCAGATCTCATTTTCAACATTTTATAAACGTATATTTATTCATCAGAGGGGAAAATTAAGATTACAATTTTACTTACCTACCTTCCATATTTAACACAAAATGCATATTGTACTGTTGTTTTATCTTAAAACATTTGTGAAGTTGAAGTGCATCTTACACTAATTTTATACATCCAGTGTGATTGTATGCATGTTTTTATTTTTCCTGAGAAGCTGTTTGTTACTGAATTAATGATGAGTCTTAAAATCAATGTCTTAGAATTGAGATATCTTTTATCTACACGTCCTCATAGATATCTTTTTATCTACATATCCTCTTAGATATCTTTTATAAAGCATAAAATACTATCTAGGAGTTTAAAAGAAAGGATTTCCATGTTTCCAAAGACAAGTACACAAAAAATTAGACACAAAATATATTTAAATTATACATGAATCTAATATGTTTTATTTGAAAACAACTAATGTAAAACTTCATATTCATTATAAATATGAAATTATGCATATAGAAGGAGCAAAACATGAAAGTCCCCAGCACCTCCATCCAGATTTTATTTCCCTACCCAGAGATTACAGTCAGGAGATTTATGTGTAGCATTTCAAGCATTCTCTCTGTGCATTATATGTACATGTGCCATTTTTAAAACTCATAAATGGTATAGTACTAAAATCACTTTTTCTAAGAGGTGATTTTCTCCAGATACCCACAATACATAAATATCATTGCTAAATATTGTCACAACCTTCTTAATTGAATAATTGAAATAATTATTTACTATAATTATCACAATGATAAATTCCATTCTAAGAGTTGATTTTTATTTTTCATAACAAAGTGTATTTGGATATATACTTTCATGAATATATATTTTCTTGGTTCTTTTTAAGAACAGCAAAATATTTCATAGTATGAATTTGCTTTAATGTATTGAATTAAGCTCCTTTTGATGGACATTCACATTGGTTATTATCAAAAGCACTGTTTCAACACATAGTTTTTTTTGTAGATACCTCTTTGAATGTCTCCAGTGCTGATGCCTACAATAGGAGCTATGGTGCTGGGGGCATCAGAAGCCATAATTACCCTTGACTGTGTTTCAAGAGTACTTTTTTATGCATCGTTGCCAGTGTTTAATATTATCTGGCTTTTTATCCTTGTTTCTGGGTGAAACATTGCTGTCTTATTGTTTTTATTTGCATTTTTCCAGTTTGTTCTGAGTTTGAGCATGGACTGTTTTTCCTTTGTGACTTGCCCACTGATATTTGTTGCCCATTCATATTACATTTTTAAAAATGATTTGTAGAAACTTCTTATAGCTTATTCATGTATTTATTGTATGTGATATAGCCATTCTCTTGTAATATGATTTATGTATCTTTTATACTAGCAAAGTGTTTAATTTTTGTCAGAGAAAAAAAAATCTTCCCTGCACCAGTATTCTAACAGTGTTCTCTGTTTTACTCTAAGTCTTTTATAGATTTTGGATTTAGATTTTTTTTTAAAATTGTGGATGATGTAACAGGATACTAGTTTTATTTTTATCAATGGCTAGTAAATTATTTCAACTCTATTAACAAATTAGCCCATATTCCCCCCCACCACTGTTTTGAAATACCACATTTATCAACAGTTGAATTTCTCATAAATTCATTGATTTGTTTCAGGAATACGTGTTCTGGGTTTGTTTGTTTGTTTGTTTGTTTGTTTTTCAGTGTATTTATCTGCTTCTTTCCAATAGCTCCTTGTTTAAATCAAAGATTGACAAACTTTTTCTGTAAAGGCTCAGATTATAAATAGTTTAGGCTTTGCAGACAATACATACATGAATGACTGTAGCTATGTTCAAATAAAATTTCATTTACAGAAACAAGTGATAGTATATTTTTAAAACTCTCATAATTCAACAACAAAAGGATAACTCATTTTAAGAATGGACAAAAGATTTAAACAGACTGCTTCAAAGAAGATTGTCAAATGACTAATAAGTATAAGAAAATATATCACTATTATTAATCATTAGGGAAATGCAATCAAAATCACAATGAGATAATGAGTCATACCTACTTAGTTAAAATCAAAGACAAACAATAACAAGTGTTAGCAAGGGTGTAGATATATTGGAAACCTGCTGTTAATTACTGGGATCATAAAATGGTACAACTTCTTTTAAAAACATTTAGGCAGTTCCTCAAATATTGCATTACTTTATGATCCAGCAGTTCCACGCCTATGTATACACCCAAGAGAATGAAAACACTCCTCCACAAAAACATATGCATGTTCACAGCATCATTAATCATAATAGCCAATAAATGGAGACAAACAAATGTCCATCAACTGATGAACGGATACACAAAAGTTAATATATTCTTACAATGGAATATTTATCCGCCATAAAAAGGAATGAAGTGATGATACTTGATACAGCATGGATGATATAGCTGCTTTTTGTACATAATGAATTTGTTCTGTCTTATTCTTAATTGTGTCAGCTAGAACCTGTACATCTTTGCCTTATTCATGGCATTAAAGAAAATGATTCCAAGATGTTATTATTGAGTATAATTGCTTACTCTGTGTCTAGTCGAGGTAGCTTTCTATTCCTGGCTTTCCGAACATTTTAAAGGTTTGGATTTTCTTTCCATTTTTAAAAACTAAGGTAAAATTTACAAACAACAAAATTCACCCTTTTTAGTATCCTGTAAGTTTTAAAAACACGTATGTTCCTGAGACTTCCACAGTCAACATATGGAAGCAGTCTATCACCACCCAAATTTCCCCTTGACCCTTGGTAGTCAACCCCTCCCATACCCTAATCCCTGTCAATTATTGATGTGTTTTCCCCGAATATACATAAATGGAGCAAGTCTGAGTTTAGTTGAATGGTTTATTCAGCATGTATTGAGATATTCATAGTTTTTCTTTAATCTGCTAATGCAGAAAATTACATTGATTGTCTGATTTTTAATCACCTGTACAGTCCTATGATTTATTTCCTTAACTATGGTATATTGTTCATTTAATACGCTTTTGGGTTTAATACTCCTCCTCTTTCCCTCTCTCCTCCTCCCCCACCCACTGCTGCTGCTGCTCTTCTCAGCTCCTGGGGCCTTTCTTTTGCTGTAACTTGTTTCCTGAGCCCATTTCTTCTATGGCTCATTTCTTCTACCTCCGTGACTTTCTAAATACACTTTCTCTTTTTTAAAAAAAAGAAAAAAATAGATCTCTAACTATCTTTCCATTTTCTTCTATGCCTATTGGCTTACTCAAAACCTTTACCTATTCTTGTGTTAATTAATCTTCCTTTGTTTCTTTTTTACCCCTTTAGGGTTTTCCAACATACACATAATTGTTCCTCTTTTTTTTTTTTTTAGTAATTGCCTTTAAATTTTAATATATTGACCTATTTAAATTTATTTTTATCAATAGCTATAATTAATTAATGTCTATATCCTACCCTCAAATATTCATCATCTAAACCCAGTTTTAGTTAGGCTTCCCCACAACCATCTCTTATTTTGAGATTATCTACAATATTTCAAAATATCATTATTATGACTCTTTTCTAGTATTAAGCCTTGACAATTTTTGTTAGTTCCTTAATTTATCATTATTTCTTGTGTCTCAAATCTTCTTTTTAAACTGTATATATTGTTTCACTGGGGTTTATTTTCTAGCAGATTTTTAGTCCATTCTTGATCTAAAGTTTATAACAGACCTTTTCTGCACTTGCCTTTAATCACTTCTCCTCTCCCTGTTTGTTCACTCCTTTGGTGATCTCCTATGGGCCGGTTCTTTAAATACTCCGTATCCTGAACTGACAGCTTCTAAATGTGTATCTCTAGCCTCTTTTCCACCCCCTAACTTTCATACTTGTATTCCTGCTTACCAATTCATCATCTCCACTTAGATATCCAACAAACATCAAGCCTGACATTTCAAAAGGTGAGCTTTAATCTCCCTATGTTCTATGCATGTGTTTCTTGTGGCTCCTCCATTTTTGTGGTTGGCTCAGGCCACAAGCCCTGAAGCCATCTCTATTAGTTCTCTGGGGAACTTACTACAAAGTACAGATACCAGGTAGTGTAATATAAAAGAAATTTATTCTCTCACAGTTCTGGAGGTTAGACATCTGAAATCAAGGTGTCAACAGGGCTCTGCCCCCTCTGAAGGCTCTAGGGGAGAGTCCTTCCCTGCCTCTTCTAGCCTCTCTGGTGACTGTTGGCAGTCAGCCACAGTCCTTGGCCTCTAGCTACATCACTCCAATTTCTGCCTCTATATTCACATGGCTGTCTTTTCTCTGTGAGTCTTTATGCCCAGATCTCCATCCTCTTACAAGGATAGCAGTCATTGGATTTAGGGCCCACCCTAATCCAGTACGACCTGCAAGGCTCCTATAATATCCATGTAAGGTCAAATTCACAGATTCTGAGTGGCTATGAGCCTTTGGATGAAACTATTCAACCCAGTACACCATCCTGGACTCTTCTCTTTGTCTCATACCATACATCCAAACCATCGTGAGATCATGTCTACCCTGCCCTGAGTCTAAATGCTTCCCCCACCATCACAGCTACCACCTTGGTCTAAACCACCATCACTTCTTGCAGCAATTATTGTGACAGCCTCCTAACTGGTCGTCCTGTTTGCACACCCACTCTACCTTCCACACTTCCATGTCATTGTCCCCTCTAGCTTAGAGTTTTACATCTCTCCAGCCATTCACCTTAATCCCTAGTACACCATATGTTCTCACACAATAGCTTTTCATAGTATTAAAACTCTTGTCACTTTATAAATTTTTCAGTGCCATCCCACACTTACGGTACAATGCAATAATTTTTACAATATTTTTTACATAATCTAGCCAAAATCATGGCTTGGCCCAAAATACAATCAGGTAAGCATTTCTGTTATATAAACATATCCATGGTGTAAGTGCATTTTCTGATGATTGAGCACATATCTCAAGGCATATTTTATTGTGACTTTTCCAAAAGAACTGTGCAGATTTACTTTGATAGATGTAAATAGTTATATTTAAGGAATAATTTAACTCCTGATATGAAACTGAGACCTCAGATTATTGGTACAAAAACTTCATTTTTCAAGGCAGAAAGCAAGTTGCAAGTATCTTATTTTTCACATCCAAAATTATAATGGAACTGTCATATATGACACAGCATTTCAAATTTAAATGAAAAAAAAATGTGTCTTCTATTTAGGACTACTACAGGGTTTGCATGGAGCTATTTAAACTTGATTTTTTTGCCTTTCCCAAGAAAGAAATAAGTGATTTTACAAAGTATAGGGACATTGCATGATTTTAATAATGCTTTTCTTTCAAAAAGTTTACAATAAGTAATTTATCTTACATGAATCAAGTAAGATTGCATTAGTGTTTTATTTTTGCTGTAACAGATTACTATAAATTTAGTAAGTTAAGACAATACTATAAATTTAGTAACTTAAGACAACATGAATTTGTTAACTTAGAACTCTGGAGGTCAGAAGTCTGAAATCAGTATTATGGGGTAAAATCGAGGTGTTGGCAGGGCTGTGTTGCTTCTGAATGCTTCAGGGGAGAATTCCTTTCCCTGCCTTTCTCAGCCTCTGCAGGCTGCCCCTGCCACTGACTTCTGACTTCCTTACCACATCTCCTCTGACTCTTCTGCTTCCTTCGTTCCCTTAGAAGGAGCTTTGTGATTATATTGGGCCAACCTGGATAATCCAGAATAATCTCCCATCTCAAAATCATCAATTTAATCGCAGCTGCAAAGCCCCTTTGTCACGAGAAGGAATATATTCACAGGGTCTGAGAGTGAGGATACAGACATCTTTGGGAGTCCAGTGTTCTTCTGCCTACTACAAAGACTGTCATTAATTTTGATACACACTGTACCTCTTCCAAGCTGTATCTCAAGTAATTAATATTCTGTCAGCTGGAGGCTTGCATTTCCTTAATTAGGTAAATTATTAACATTTGAGTTATCACTATATTGCCAGCATGCAGGAGCTAGAGTTGTTTATGGAATTTGAGGGGCAAAATCTCCTAAATGAGTAATAAATAATTAAATTAAGTCGTTATTAAGATTAAAGGGGCGGTTTGACCTCACAAGGAAAGTCGATTTAACTCTGCATTCTGAGTTGCCATTACCACTAAGTTAATTAGCTAAATACTTCCGAGAATTTCCCCAATTTGTCTGGGTATTGAAGGACATAATATATAGTAAAGCCAATTGTTGCTGAATTTGGATATTTCCTCTATTCTCTGAACACTTAATTTGGAGGCACTGTTTCCTAGACTAATACTACCAGACACGTCTGCCTCATTCTTCAAATCCCAAAAGTAATTGAATTTGTTAAAGAAAAGAATGCATGACTTCTTTTAATTGGCTGCCATTATCAGGAATTTCAACCAAGAAGAAAAGAAAACAATTTTTTTTGCCCTTTTCCCTTCATTTCTGTGGCGGTCTCATAAGTTTTGAAATTTAAATAAAGAACTCAAAATTGTAGAATTTTTCCCATCCCCAGAAGGCATATGGACAAACCTGATGGCATTTCACAAACATTTCACATAGCAATAGATTCTGAATCTGGTAGGATCAGACCTGGTCTGAAACTGTTCTTGCTGATCGATTTTTAAAGCATTATACAGAAGAATTCTGGCATCATTTCAGAAATGAGAATCCTCTTGCTATTCTCTTTGTGCCCTAGAAGTAGAATGAAAGCCAGCAGGTAGGTTTGAAGGGAAGTGCTTCAAAGTTGGAAAGCTTTCCTCCCCCTTTGGGTTGTTGGCATGCTTCAAAAACTACCACAAAATGTTTAGACTAAAAGCTCGGTGTGCAGCATTGCTTCATACTAAACATTGACATTAATTGTAAATTCTAGAATAAGATTCAAAAGAAAGTGATTGGTGGGGGTAAAGGGAGACCAAACCAAATCAGGTGGTTCTTTTTCCTCTAATAATTAGCTTGATGGAGGTGGTGTCTGAAAATAAGAGAAGATATATCTCCATTTCTTGCCTTTTATAGTTCTATTGATGGATTGGTAGACAAATAAGGAGAGCTATGAGTGGTCCGGCCTTCAAGTGATTACAAAAAGCTATTTTTAAGTAATTCTCTCACAGTATAAGTTTTGTCCTCTGTCAGCAACATGGGTTAAGAACTACTGTATTCTATTGATCTAAGGTACATACTTTTTCACATTTTAAGTTCCCTAAAATCAAGATTTGTTTTACAGTTGGTGGCATCTTACAGTTACTTGACAGCAGTTTTTTTTTCCTAGTAGTACCTGAGCTAATGCAACCTCATACAATGTTGAAGGCATGTTACAATTGATGAGATACAGTATTTATTATGCTGCTTCAGTGAAGTGCTGTCTCCGTACCAGTGTGCTTGGTGATTTCTGCCTTCAGCAAAAGGTTTTACACAAACCTTACTTCCCAGCTAAATATTCCACATATAAAGAAGTTTTAGGACTCCCATGTACCAAACAACAGTTTAGGTTTGTGGAATTCAGGATTTAAAGATGGATAAGATGACATTTCTATCTGTAAGTATTCTTCTAAGTAACTAGAGTGGTTCTCCTCTTATGAGCATGCCTGCCAGCTGACATGTGCTTGGTGAATCACACTGGCAAACCAAAAGTGGCAGCTTAACCTTAGAAATGACTTGATACAGGATTACAGACAAGTTTTTTATACTTTCCTGTTTCACTGAATTTTCTTTAATGAACAGGTATCAGTATTACTCTTTTTTGTTTAAATTCTAAGTGCTACTTAATAAAACAGAACAGCCCTTGAGTCAAGAAAATAATAGCAGCATTCTTTTAATGGTATTTGTTATCAAATTGTATTCTCTAAATATGTACAGCTTGTGCTATATCATTTATACCTCATTAAAGCTCCTTTGTTGTTGCTGTTTTTTAAAAGAGTCATAGTTGAAAAGAGAAAACATGCTCAACATCATTAGTCATTAAGGAAATACAAAAAATACAAATCAAAACCACAATGAGAAACTATTTCACATCCATTAGGATGGCTAGAATAAAATTTTTTTTAAATTAAAAGAAGATAAGTTTTGGTGAGGATGTAGAGAAATTGGACCCTCATACATCATTAGTAGGAATGCAAAATGATTCTGCCACTGTGGAAAACAGTTTGGCAGTTCCTCAAAAAGTTTAACATGGAATACCATATCAACCTGCAATTCTACTCTTAGATATATACCCAAAACAAGGACTCAATTAAGTACATGTGCATGTGTTTATGGTAGCTCTATTCACAATAGCCAAAGGGGGAAAACAGCCCAAATGTGCGTTAACAGATGAAAGGATAGACCAGCTATTGTGTATACACACAGTGGAATATTATTCATCCATAAAAAGAATGCATTACTGATGCATTCTATGACATGGATGAATCTCCAAAACATGCCAAGTCAAAGAAGCCAGACACAAAAGGTCACATATTATATGATTCCACTGCTATGGAATATTCAGAATAGATGAATTCAAAGAGACAGAATGCTGATTGGTGGTTGCCAGAGACTGAAGGGAGAGGGGGTTGGGGAGACACTGCTTAATGCTAAGGCATTTTACTTTGGAATTATAGAACTATTTTGCCATCATTCTAAACTCTTAAAAAGAGTTGGTGGTTGTACAGCATTCTTAAATGTACTAAATGCCACTGAACTGTCCACTTTAAAGTGACTAATTTTGGGTTATATGAATTTCACCTCAATAAACAAAACAAAATGTCCATTATACAAAAGAGAAGTGATTGTGAACTAGAACTTTTTAACAAGCACATTCATGTAAATGCTTCTCATTACAGTAGTTGATAGATATTATGACTGGTGATTAGTTTTGGAATGTCCAGGAATATATCTCACATTCAACTTAGATTTTGAAAGTCAAAATAAGAAAATTAATTGATACTTCTTTCTCTTTTTTTAGGACTCTCAGCTCGTTTCCTCCGGACACAATAATCCAAGTAAGAAAGGCTTTTCTCTACAGCCTTATGAGTTGGGGGTGAAGGTAGCAGGGGCGAGTAGGGGAGATACATGCAATAAACATTAGGTGTAAAAAAATTTCACTAAAAAAATCAGGTTGGGAAAAGGAGAGCCCTTTGTTCAAGTACTTACCAAATATATAAGATTCATGGTGACTTTGGAGGCTCCTCTAGTTTTTCAAGGGAAGGAGGGATGAAACATAAAATGGTGGGTTTCAAAGCAATCATGGGTTGAAAAAACATCATTCATTATTATAGTTGGTTTCTGGTATATGTAAAGGGGAGCAACTTTTTAAAGGCACTAATGAGTTATCTAAATTGAAAGAGAAAGAGTGGGCAAAGGGAACCAATCAGAAGACCTCAAGATTAATGGTCTTAGAATCCATGAAGAAACCATGACCTCTCCCAGAGACAAAGTGTCTAGGAAGGAATTTCCTTATCGAATCCAATGTCTAATAAAACACACGAGCTTCATTGTCAAAGAGAGAATGTTATCGTTCCATGAAGTAATGTTTTCATTCTCTTCTTTGGCACTACTAATTGCTACTAATGTTTTCTTAAGCATTAAAAATGCACAAGCTATCTCATTCAAGTCATGAACACCATCCACAAAGACAGGGCTCTGTTAGTCTGTGACCAGCCAGTCAGCTGTCTGTTGCCAATTACAAAGCTGTGTTTGAGTATAAAAATCACTCTGAGCTAGTAGATGTGTCTTTGGAACTGAGGCTTACCCACTGAGCATCTGTGAAGGCGGAAGGGTTGGGGAGAGAAGGCATTTAGACAGATGTGTTAGACTTTTCTTGCTCATCTAGAGAAAGGTCAGGGCAGGGGAATGATGGCATAATGATGCATAGGCAATATCACTTAATCATCTCACCCTCTGTTGAAATTTGCTGTGAGCACTGGTACCAGTGAAGAGGAGAAATGCCAAGGGACTTGAAATCTAAAGAAAATAGTAACTCAGCAGTAAGAAAAGGAATCAGAAGAAATGCATGGTTAAGTCTGTGAGGTGTGCAGCCATCAGCATCATGTGCCAAAGATTAGAGCATACTGAAAAATCACTTCATTTCCTCATCATTTCTTTCCATTTGAATTTAAACAGCTCGGGGTAGAGGGAGGATGCAAGAGGTGAATAAATGTACCTTCTCTCAGTTTGACATAGAGAAGAACAAAGGAGCCCTCAGTGACGTGGCTCAGTTGGTTGGAGTGTTATCCATAAACTGAAAGGTCACAGGTTCAATCCCCATGCCCAACACCACCCCCCTCCCCCAGGTCAGGGCACAAACCTAGGTTGCCTGTCAGGGAGTGTACAAGAGGTAACCAATTGATGTTTCTCTCTCATATCAATACTTCTCTCCCTCTCTCTCTCCTTCCCTCCTTTCCTCTCTAAAATCAATAAGCATGCCCTGGCTGGTATGGCTCAGTGGATTGAGCACCAGCCTGTAAACCAAAAGGTTGATGTTTGGATTCCAGGTCAGAGCACATGCCTGGGCTGCTGGCCAGGTCCCCAGTTGGGAATGTGCAAAAGACAACTGATTGATATTTCTCTCCTTCTCTTCTTCCCTCCCTTCTCTCTCTAAAAATAAATAAATCTTTTAAAAAATAAAATAAGCATGTCCTCAGGTGAAGATTTTTTAAAAAAGAGCAAAGGAAATAAGTGGTGTCTCTTCCATGTGCTGCACCTTGACTTACCTTGGCTTACATTACTTCACTTAATCCCAACAATAGCTGTATGAGGGAGGCATTATTGTCCCCATTTTGCACATAATAAAAATGAGATTCTGAGGTTAATAACCATTTTAATTTTTGGTGACTAGAAATGACAACTAGGATTTGAATGCAAGGATGTCAGCCCCAAAGATAACAGACTTTCCATCCCATTACCTTGACCCCAAAAAGATGACTCTGTTAGTTCAGTGTGAGATTGACTTCTTGTCCAATATCTATATACTGTGATTTTTGTATGCACCTGGCATATTTTTACAGCATGCTGTAACAGTGACATGCAAAACCTGCTTTTGGATTTGTAAAAGCAGACCCATGTCTGTAAAATATGATGTGGCACCTGCCTTGTGTGGTATGAAACCCTCTGGCATTTCATCACCTAAGGAAGTCTGTGATTGGCTTTTTCTTTCCTGGGGATAGAGAGGTTATTTTCTTTGTATTTTTTAAAATAAATCCTCCCCCCAAGCCAAGCACATCTGTATAGAGGCAATATTACTAAAAGCCTGAGCAGATTATAGCACACTTGAAGCTTTAGGAGAGCAGGTCTCACCAGTACTTCCTGTGCTGTTTCTTCTATTTGGATTGGAATCCTTAAAGTTTTTGGAATTGTGACTCTAGTAAATATGTAGAAAATAGAAAAAAAAAAACTGAACTTCAAAGAAAGCAAACCCAACATGTATGTGTGGCTTAATGAACTAACCTTCACCATTTTAGGTCAGTGCTTTTTTTTTTCTTTTTGAAATTAGAGATGTTACATAAATACTAAAAGAGTGTACAAATTAAACAGAAAATTATTTTTAATTTGAATCTTTTAAAAGATAGATACTTCAGTCAGTTTGCTGAATTACCAGTTAATTTAATTTAATTTTAGAAAACAAAAGGTTATTACACATTGAGAAACTTAAATATTAAAATGGGTGACCTATGTCCACATTTTATTAAAGTTTTGAGCGTATCCTCTTCAAATCACAGATTGAGCATAAGCGCATAAGCACTTTTATCCTGTGTCAGAATCCCCATTTATATAACAGTAAAGTTACAGTAATGGAAATAAGTTTGTACTAGCACTGAGGACAGAAAAGGATGCATCAACAAACCAGAAATTCAGCGGAGTTTTTGGAAAACAGAGAGTACATAGGACCCTCCTATTAAATAATCCTCGATGGGGAAGGTCATGACCAGAAAAAGAAAACAATGAAACAAACAGGAACAGGCTTTGGTAGTGGTGGGAAACTGTCCTTGGGGGCTCCCAGAGAGGTCCCAGAATTCCACTCAGTCTTACAGAGAATAGGCTTGGAGGGGAGACAGTGGGAGGAACCCGGGTGGTTATGTCTTCCACTTATGACCCCTCTCTCCATCCTCGCTCTCACACAGAGCTTTCCATCTGGATTTCCACCCCATGCTACCCCCCAAAAACGCCAAAATACCAAAAACACAGTAACATTTGCTAAGAAAATGAACAGTTGACTAGATAGAATTCCTCATTGGGAGTTGATACCTAAAAGAGAAGCAGAATAGATTCTGAGATAATACTAGACCTTAAAAATAGAGTGGTAGGAGAAGAGTTAACTTTTTTCAAGCGGGAGATGAACAAAAATGTTATATACCCTTAGTAAAGTACTTCTAATTTGGAGGGGGTGGGAGGGAAGACGATGAAATACGATGATCAGGGCTCCCTGCTTGTCTCAAGGTCTGTCTTCTCCTGAACCCTAAATGTGCCACCTAACATTCCCTGTCCACTTGGAATGAGCTCTGAATCAGCCATTTCCTGCAAGAGATATGTGTATTAGGAAAATAGATCAATATGCTAAAACAGAAAATCCATATCCGTTACCTTTGTTAACCAGCCTGTTATCATTCAAAAATATGAATGTGTAACCAGTGAGCACCAAAAAGGACTGACTCCAGAGGAAATCTACCTAATTCAAGAAACAGAAGAAAAAATGTGAAGTATTATTACAGTCTTAAGAAACGTTTGAAATTATTTGTATTAAATAAAAGAGAACAGAGTGGTATGAAAAAGAAGCAGTTACAGAACAAACAAGCACTTGAGAATTAAAAATATGGTCGACAAAAAAGTTATTAGAAATGATAATAGCTGAAGTCTAGAATCTGGAATATAAATTTGAAAACTTTTTTTTTCTGGAAGTAAAGCAAAAGACAGATGGAAGTTATGAAAGGAAAATCAATCAGGGTGAAAAAGTCAAAATCCAGCTAATAGGAATACCAGAAAAAGAAAACAAAATGGAGAAAAATAAATAATAAGAGAACTATAATTCCAAGAGAAATGAGTAACTCATTATTACAAATACCAGGTACAATGAAACAAGAGACCATGAACAAGAAGAGTGCTTACTTTAATTTCCAGAAATGAGAGGATTGAGAATGTAGTTAAGAACAAGAAGATTTGGAGAAGTACTAGTCAGAACCTCTAGAAATGAAAAAATAACAGAAATTACAATTTCTTGGTCAGGTATATGGCCGAAAAAAATTAATGAATTGGGAAACTGAATTGAAAAAATTACCTAGAATGCAGCCTAGAGACAGAAATGAAAAATACGAAAGGTAAGTTAAGAAATATGGGGGACAGAGTGAGAAAGTCTAACATATTTAAGTAAAATTGCAGAAAGAGATAGGAACAGATGAAATATTAAAGAAGATATGGCTGAAAATTATTTTTAGGATTGAAATACACTAACACACAGATTCTAGAAACCCAATGTATATTAAGCGGGATATATAAAAAGAAGTCCACATTAGACACATTATATATAGTTAATCTGCAAACCACATAGATAAAGAAACAATTCTTAAAATGCCCTTTAATACCTTCAAAGAAGCAGTAATTGAACTTCTAAGTGACTTCTTTCCCAACAGCAGCAGTGGGAGCCAGCTTCGTTTTTGTGTATGTGGAAATTGACAAGGTAATTCTCAAATTTATTTGTTAGAACAAGTGGCCAAAAACAGCTCAGATGCTCCAATATTAAAAATAAAAGAATATTCTTAGCTAAGTAATACAGACAGTAATAGACAAATTGAGCAATGAAAGAGAATATAGGACTTAGAACAGACCCACAAACATATGAAAATTAGATTCCTGACAGAGCTAATAATGTAGATCAATGAAGAAAGAATTGGCTTCTAAACAGATAGTACAGAGTAATTGGTTATCTACGAGAAAAATGAAATTACTTCACATCATATTTAAAAAAAAAACTATGCCAGGTATTTGTAAAAGATCTAAATGTGAACAGTTTAGGTATACACTTTCCAAAGACAATACAGAATATGTTCCTGGTATATTTCTTAAATGAAAACACTAAAAGGTATCAAGTACAGGAAAATATTGCTAAATTCAAATAAATTCAAATTGAGAACTTACAATCATCCACAGATACCAGAAAAAGACTCACACTGGGAAAAATTACTTGGGGTGGGGGGGTGGTAGTATATATGAAGATGTAGCAAGACAATGAAGTGCTTCCATGAGTTAAAAAATTAACAAATCTTTTTTTAACAAATGAGAAGCAATATCACAAAAGAGCAAGCACAAACTATCAACTTCACTGGTACTCAAATGCAAACATTACACTGAAATTTCATTTTATATTATTACATGAGAAAAAAAAACATTTGAAGTTTGACCGTAAATTAATTTGGAAGCCAGTTCAGAATTCCCTGGTAAGGCTGGGCATATGAAAGCCCTGGGGCCCACAACTCCTAACATGTGCATGAGGAAAGATGTTCATGAATATTTGTAATTGTGTCATTGAGAATGGATGTCCAACAGGAGTAGAATGAGGAAGAAAATCATTGGAGATTTGGTATAGGATGCTCAGTAGTGAGAGGATGAACAAACCAAAGCTACATAAATCATGGGCTTGATCTAAAACTCATAATCTTGACTGATAGAAGTAAGTCTCAGATGAATGCATGCAATATGATTCCATTCATCTAAATTTCAAAATCAGGAAAAACTAAATTTTTTACTTAGTAATAAATGCATGGGTGGTAAAAAATTTTTTTTAAATAAAAAATAAATTTTTTAAAAAACCTACCAAGAAGGGAGAGAGAATGCTTAACACAAGATCATTGTGGGGAAGACAAGAGGAAACAAATTCAGAGACTTGTGCATTATTTCTTGGTAGTGTCTCACTGCCTGGCCTGGAAGGCATTTTTTTCACAGTTAACTCATTTGAAGTTTTTAAAACTGTATGTATACATTTTATATACATTAAATACATGTTCTATTTAACATTTTTTTAAAGAAAAAGCATAACCTTTACTTGAGAAAGATTAACCTGTGGCATGATGAGATTAAGGATGAGAATTCGTTTGACTGGAATGCTGAGAACACTTGACTTCATTCAGGTTTAGTGACATTCCCTTCTGAACAGGTCCAGTCCCAATTCTGTACTGACTAATATTTATATTATTATAGTATTTTATTTATTATTTATTTGTTTGAGAGAAAGAGAGAGGGATATCGGTTTGCTGTTCCACTTCTTTAGGCATTCATTGGTTGATTCTTGTATGTGCCCTGACTGACACTTTCACCAACTGAACTACCCAGCCAGGGATTATTATGGTATTGTAAGTTCTGTTATTGGTTTATAATTTTTTTAATTGACCTATAGGGAATTCCAAATATTAAATCATTAGTTAAATCAATATTAATGAGGGTGACTCATTAATAATTACTGAACAGAATATGACTATAAATATTTTAAATCTTGGCTCTGTAGATGGAAGGTGTAGTTGTGCAGTTACATGTTATAGAGCAAGGGAAGGCAGGAGAGAATAGATGGGTGAATTTCCTCATTTTACATAGTTTAGAAGATATTGTCAGAAGTTGATTAATCAAGAAACAGAAGGTTAAATATATTTAAAGCTATAAATGCTCACTGGAAGCAGTAAAAGTAATGATAGAACTAATAAAAATTGTAAGGAGAGGGGAGGTGACAGTATATTAAATACCTTATCTCTCATCTCTCATATCAGAAATTATTAGGTACCATGTAGAGTTGATATATCCAGAAATACATGTATCATTTAGAGTGATGGCTGAAGGGCTCACAACTAAAAACAAAAGCAAGCAAATGTGTTACCTTTTCTCTACTGTTCAATCGTTTTACCATGTACATAGGTTACATTCGTTATAAAGGAAAGTTGTAGTATATCAAACCTTCACTCTACAGCAGAATCCAGCATAAGACAGGACTCTATTTGTTCCCTATTCAAACATAGCAGTTTGAATAAACCTCTCTATCATAGCAGTGTTGATGGAGAGTCCAATACTCCAGCATTACAGTCACTTTAAGTGGTTAAAGGGCACAAATTCAGTTATTTTTTTCTTTATGTGACCCGTTGGAGCCTTCAGACTGTTTAATATTCAAATTGTAGATCCATCTCAGTGGTGAATGTACATACTCTTTTTCTCCCACTGTAGTGTGGGGTCATGAATTAATGACAGGTTATCAGAAAGCATGCAGTGTATGTTAGGTACTATGCAAGGCACAGGGAGACACCTATGGAGCATCACGTTGAAAGTACACATGTAATATACCTACATGTGATTTACTTGTGTGTATATATGTCTGTGTGTGTGTGTGTGTGTGTGTCCTTGCTGTGGCTCATTTTTTCCCGTCTTCCTCTCTGTAATTGTATTTCCTTGTGCAAAATGATCACACTGTACCCAGGCCAATCTTTTATACCCATTTGTTTAATGACCAGTGCAGGTTCCCTCCCAAAGAAACCGGTGTAGTATCCACCATGAAAACAGTTGGCATAACCAGCATGATCCCAGACGGACCTATTTGGTAGCTGCACAGAAACATCTCCTGGGCAACCAACTAAAAAATCTCTTATGGAGAATTTTCTAGCTTCCATGCACAATTTTCCCTTAGGCCATGATAAAGGAACTATCACTCTTAATGACATAGGCACTTAAACATTTCAAGCGAACTTCAGAAATTGCATCACCTAAAATTCCAAGATGTTAGGGAGAATTTTGTGTTTCATTCTTTCTGAAGGGCAGAAACAGTTTGGATCCCTTTCTCCACCTTGTACTTACTTTTCCTCAGAAAGGTTCATTTGTTGTCAGCACTGAAGGTGCTGAGAGCCCTCACTCTCAGGCTGTTCGTAAATGTCTTGTTTGGCCCTGTGGTAGCCTTCCTGTTTGCCAGAACCTACTCTGTTTTCCCTGTTGCCACAACAGAAGTGCAGCTAAGAGCAGAGATAATCAATTGCAGCTTTGTCCCTACGCTGGGCCAACCTTCGACTCCCGCAGCCCAGGTCCCATGTGCAATAAGGCCTGTGTCCTCTCAACCTGTGGGTTCTCTGGCAGCATTCTTGGTCAAGGTAAAACATATTTATTCAAACATCCCAACAGTGTCTTCATTTATAGTCTGTTTCCTGTTTTCTTTGTTATAAGTTGTTTGTAAATGTTTACTATTGTCAGCTGCTGTGAGCTTGGCTGTTTGACACTCTTTATTGTGTTTGTATGTGGTAAGACTACTGGCAGTGATAGACTGGGGAAAGCAATCAATTTCCCCAAATTAAAGGTGGGGGGAGATCAATATGTGACTTAAATCTCCATTTAGTGTTGTTATATAATGCAGGTGTCGTAACACTATTTAAGGATTCTGGCAGGAATTGTAGCCACTCAGTGGAAAAATGATTCTGGAAAGGACTAAATTGGGTTATTTTCCAGCTCTAAAGCCAGTTGATGAGGCCTTGCATGTCTCCTAAGTGAGCACAGCACAGATCTGGCCTGGGAGACAGAACATAAATGTATGAGCTTTAAACCTGGTTTATTAATTTGCTGCCTTTACATGTAGTTCAACGTGGTTTCATAGGTATCAGGGTTCTGTCTAATCAGCGTTTGTTATTGAGGCAGTTACATAGGTGTTGTGACTTTTTGATGAAGTGGCTGTGTAGACAGCCGTTAGTGCCAACTTATGTCTAAGATAGACATGCGAACTATATATAATGGTCTTCTTTTTTTCACAACTATTTAATTTCCCAAAAGAAAAAAAGAAGATGCTATCAAGTTTACTTTGGGGTTCAGTTTGGAAATTATCTCAGGATATGATCCTCATGCAATTTAGGGAGACGGTCCTGAGACAAGGTGATGGCTGACAACAGGGGCTTGGTACACTGCATAGGTCTGGGCCCTAAAGAGTATATTGGTGGATTCTGTGACATCTCCAGGCCTGACTCATAAGAGCAAAGCAGAACAGTTTGCCACCATCAGGCCCATTTCTTACAACCCCCAGTCTTCTCTGGGGTTTATTAAATGTTAACTTGGAACAACCATCAGAGCCACAGCCAACTCACACTGGCAATCATGACGCTACTCCTTCTGTCTCCTGCCTCAAGGAACTAAAAGCAGCACCTTACATCATGAGGATGCATGGTTCACACCACCAGTGGTTAAGGATCTAAGAATTATACTGTGTCCTTGCAAGAAGCATTTTCCTTTTAAAACTACAAAAAGTGAACTCGTTCCAGGCTCCCTCAATTAAATCCTGTTAAATCCTTGATGCCCACTGGTGAAACATTTCATTACCTAACCTTTCAAGAAAGATTTCTGGCTTACATCTTATTAGACTAACCTGTCAAATAGGAAAGATTTCTGGTTTGCATCTTATTAGGCATTAACTGGGGGACCTCAAAACCTGTGCCTGGGCTCTTGGTGAGGTATAATTCTTGGGGACCTTGTAACCTCAGTAGAATTCTCTTCTCCAAGTTCTGATGCAGCAGACCTGGTTTGGCTTATGTTAGCAAAGGGGATCAAAGTCCAAAATGCCTTGATGTAGAATGCTAATGGAGTTTATTTCCTTAAATTTTCTGTAAAAGAAGTGGAAGGAAACAGGTTCCATTTGTTAGATACTCATCTTCAGGCAAGGTCTCCCCTCTGAGACTTTGGTTGTTTATAAACAGCTCCTTAGAACCTACTCACAGATCTATAACTGGGCAATGGTATTACATAGAAGAAATTATGTTGCAAATCCAGTTCTCAGACAATAAAAAGGTATTTTAAAAGTCTTCTTCTGCACATTTTGAAAAATTGTTAATAGGAGCCTGGGAACATATTTAATCTCTCTTAGATCTTAAAGGCTGTGACACTCACATGTATTTTTTTTCTACTTTTTAAGAGAAAGGTGATGCTGAGCCAGAGAGTCCAGACAATGGCACCTCGAATACATCGTAAGTCTCTTTCCTCTTTCTGTTTGTGATAGTGGTTCTTTAATATGCCAGTAATATGAAACAGCACAAGTATCTTAGTATATAATAATAATAATAATAGAAGGAAGACCGTAGTTCTCTTTCTCATGATAATGTCTTTTTAAATGCTTCAGAGTGCACATACCTTTGGAGGTCTTCCTTATGTTTTAAAACAGTAAGACTAATCTTGAAAACGCAGATGCTCCTCTTCATAAAATACAAATATAATGAGATGTGAGGGTACATATTGGTGGGGAGAAGAGAAGGAACTCTTTTTAATTTATATGGAGACTTTCATCATTACTGTTATAAATAATGTAGAACTTCTCACACATACTGGGAGATATTCTGCCCTACCTACCTGTGAAGTGCCAGTGTCACTTGAAAAGCCTGCCATCTGCAACCTCACTTTGGAACTATGTGAAAAATACAATTATAGATATCTCTGAAATCTCATGAGTTTATGGATGTTTTTGAATTAACAAAAGCAGTTTTTAAAAGAAAAAAAAGGGCATTTATAAAACACATGTTCCACACTCTACATTTTGCCTTTTCCCTCTCAGTACTCAAGGAATTCTTATATGTTTCAATGATTAATTTGATACAAAATTTATATAGCAAAGTTTAAATGAAATAATTCATGAGCTAACAAATTATTTTAGGAATCACTGAAAGGTTTGCCCTTTGAAAATCTTTATTATAACTCTGAGGGGTGACATATGGTTTCTTATTCCATGACAGGTTTGTGAATTTATACTTATGTGGATCAGCACTCTTATTACTAAACATACAGAATGCTGTTCATTGTCAATGAGTTTGTGACAAAATATTATTGAGCATAGTTTTTCTAAGATCTGTTTCTCAGTCTAGAGGAATTCTTTGGCTTGCATAGGAAGACTGTATTTCATAAAGGATATGAATTTATGTTTGTCTTGCTTAAGATGTTACCTAAAAGTTCTAAACAATTTCATTGTCATGATTTCTGATGATATAATAAATGTGATTAGTTTTACATGGTTAAAATATCACTAACTTTTACATTTTTTTATGATGCAAAATATAATGGGGAAAGGGTTTTAATGCCATCTGGAGGCATTCTAGAGAACTGAAAAAGGTAGAACCATTTAAATATTTGGTTCTTTCGAATAAAATTTGAAACTGGATAAGAATTTATACAGCTAGAATGTAAGCTAGTTGAGAGTAAGTTATATTTTTTATACATAATATTATAAAAGTGTTAATTATTGTAGAAATAACAATTTCTTAATTCTCATTAACAAAAACATTTTAAAACCAGACAAAGGTACGTACAAAATATATTGGAAAACCACCAACTTCCTACATTTAATTTTACAAATTTTAAAATCTCATTCAGTGGACATGAATTTTGTTAATGCAGTTTAATGTACCATTTAAGTTCTTCTTCCTTTATGCATTTCTAAAAAAAATCTATTCTGTAAAAGAATGCCAAAGTGGGGAAGGACTGAGGGAGGGAGATGGGGCAGGGGGGAGGGGGAAGTGGTGGTGGGAAGGTGGAGACAAATGTATTTGAACAAAAATAAATAAATTAAAAATTTTTTAAAAGCAAAAAAAAAAAAAAAAGAATTGGTTTCCAGACATCAGTACCTTATGAAAATAAATATGTTGTCAGAGAAATTCTTTTAAATATTCTGGAGATTTGAGAACAGTGAAAACTTGGAGCATTGCCCCACATTCCTATCTCTTTATTTACTCATCAGCCTCATCTGTGTCTTGAACTAGAAATAGCAGAAATAAAACTGAGGTTGCAAGGATCTCTTTTAAAAGTGGAGAATTCTGAACTTGAGCCTTGCCAAGAGCTCTCTAACAGCAGTTCTATAGTCATTAGGCAGGAGGAGCAGCATGTAATAAAGAGCAAGGACTCAAGAGTGCCTTAGATTTATAAGCATTTAGATTTTCTGTGCAGTACCTTATTTGAGCTTTGTTTTTTAGATAGCCAGGTATTGGCAGGGGCAGGACCATTAAAGCTATTCAAGTTAAATTTAAAAAAAAATTGGGGCATTTTGCTTTTTTGCTCATTTACCATATTGAAGAGTCAGTGGATCTTAGGAGACAAAGTAAAGCCATGAGTCAGAATCAAGTAGAAAAATGAGGCATATTATTTGTTAAGTGGTAGATGTATTAGTTTTCTAGAGCTGCTGTAACAAATACCACAGGCTGGGTGGAGTACCTTAGGAAAAAAAAAAGAAAAAAAAGTGTAATCTCATGATTCTGGGGGCTGGACATCCAAGATCAGTCAGTAGGGTTGGTTTCTTCCGTAAAAGAAGGATCTGTTCCAGGCCTGGTGACTTGTTCTGTAGCTGGATATCTATCTCCCTGTGTTTCTTCATATTATCTTCCCTCTAAACATGTCTCCACATCCAGATTTCCCCTTTTTATAATAATACCAGTTATATTGGATTAGGACCCACCCTAAAGGACTTGTTTAATATGATTACCCCTGTAAAGACCCTGTCTTCAAATAAAGTGACATTCTGAGAGGTTAGGACTTCAACATATGAATTGAGGCAGGGAGGGGGATTCAACACATAACATTAAAGGTCACAGTGATCAGAATGATTCAGAAGCCAAGGAGACAGAACCAGGAATGTAGAGATGACAGGAGGTAGAACAAGGGGAGAGAACCTAAGTAAAACATCAAAATGATGAGCTCCATGGGAGCTGAGGGGATGAAGCAGAGCAAAGAAAACTGTTGGTAACACACATGGGCACTAGAAAAGACATCGTTTTCACATTCATGGTCTGGTGGGACAGACTTGGCTTCAGTAATGCCTGTACACCCCTCTGTCTGTATAATTCCATGGCTCTGTGAGTCATTTAAAACCATCATATGGATTTAAATTGAAGTATAAAGTTGGGATTCTCCAGACAGAAAGCTAATTTCCTGAAAAAGGCTCTTTACTCACTGGAGATTAATTAAGCAAAAGAATAATCGTGGTAAATTTTAGACAATCATTGCCTGCTAGGACAAAGTAATCTGAATAACACCTGAAGATCCCTTCAGGAGATATTATTCAATGATTTTATGAGTATTCATAAAGATGAAAAGTGTAGTTTATTCTTAACACAAAAGAACCCATAAATTTAAATTTCTGTAGAGTACCAGTTAATGATGGGAGCTCTTATATTGGGTTAACTTTCCTGCAGATAATATTATAAACTCTGGACAAAATATTTTTTAAACTATTAGCAGGCAGGAAATGTTGGGAATTTGATCCTGGAAAGAAGAAAATTGGACTGGATGAGATTTACATTCAAAAATCTTCCTCCCTGAGAGCACTGCTCAATCCACTTAGAACAACAAGAACTCAAGGAAAAGGCCATAAGCATATTGGCATGAAGAGTTAGAGAATGGAGTTTAGGGCTGCGAGAGGGACAAGATAGGGTCAAGAGCATGAGAAGGCTGGGAGAAACTGTTTGCAAAGGACACATCTGAAATAGAGCTGATACCCAAAACAAACAAAGAATTCTTAAAAACTCAACAATAAGAAAGCCCAATTAAAAAGTGGGCCAAAGACATTAACAGACTTCTCACCAAAGAAGAAATGCAGATGGCAAATAATCATGTAAAAGATGTTCCACATCATATGTCATCAGGGAAATGCCATTTGAAACAGTGAAAACCCAGAATACAGACAACACCAAAAGCTGGTGAGGCTATGGAACAACAGGAACTCTCATACATTGCTGGTGGAGATGTAAAATATTAAGGCCGCTTTGGAAAACAGTTTGGCAGTTTCTTACAAAACTAAACACACTCCTTGGTGTATCCCAAAGTTGCTGAAAACTTACATCCACACAAAAATTTTTCCTCAATATAAAAAATAAAAAATAAATTAATGGAAAAGATAAATATTTACGTGACAGCTTTTCTTCCCTATAATAATAATTACCATGTTTTGAGCCCTTACATTGACCAGGTACTAGTCTTAGCACTTGATGTATTTTATCACCTCTAATTCTTACAAAAATCCAGCAATACCTTATTTTACAGGCAAAATAGGCTAATTAAGGCCCCTGCTTTATATAGCTTCAAGTGGCAAAGTTAAGATTTGAACCCAGTGTTCAGACCCTGGAAGCCAAGCTCTTAACCATTGTCCCATTCTGCTACTAGCTCAGAGTTCTTAAGTAGTTTCTCTAAACACAGTAATCATTCCAGGAAGAGTAGGTAATTAAGGCAATAACTACAGAGGAAGAGTAGAACTGAGATCCTCCTAGAAAGTCATTTGCACAAGAAAAGCTCTAGAAGTAATGGGCAAATGGAGATTTCCAAAATACTATGAAGGCCACAGTTTGGCAGAGTCACCATTGCTTACTTAATTAGGATTTTTCCACCACAAACAAATTCACTCTCAAGTTCGAGGTCAGTAGCATGGACTGGTAGAAAAAAATCCTAAGGGAAGATCTTTCTATATTTGTAGATAAGCCTCAATTCAACAAAGTAACTGTAACCTTCCAGAATAAATGAAAGATTTGAAATGGGATTTAACACACAGTATTCAACTCCAGAAGAAAAAAATAACGTAAGGCAGAAGAAAAATGGTTAATCCGAAGTATACTTTTACAATAAAAGATTTGGAAATTATTATGAGCTCAAATGGAATTAAGAGTGACCCATGAAATGTTTTTTTCTCCAGAGTTAATTCAGTAGTTGGAATTAATCAATAGAAAGTGCCTGTTACCTAGTGGGCACTCCATAAATACTTATTATTGCTATTATAACTAGATTCACAATTTATAAAAGATAGAAAACAACCCTGCCTTGGCAGTTGGTAGTGATTAGAGCTCATTAGAACTTTAAATCTCTTCTTTTTTAAAAAAGTAGAAAACTTAGAAAGGGTTAAGGGTGGTAAAAACAAAAGTTTATATAGGCCTTCTGGCAAAGCTTGGGCTGTGAAGAAGAAACGCTGAGCAATCACTCTACTCCAAAGACATCAATGAGA